CCAATCAGTTGAAAGGCCATAAGAGCAAAATCAGGTTTCCTGGAAAAGAAGACATTCTACTTCAAGACTGTAGTGCTAACTCCTGCCTACATTTCTAGCCTGTCGGCCTACCCTACAGATTTCAGACTCTATTAAAATGGAGTCTTTGTGGCCATCCTATGGCTCACTCAGGAGAGTGTGGTGCTGTTAACACCAAGGGCACAAGTTCAGATCCCTATATAGGGATGGCCTGTTTGCTCACTTCGGAGAGCGTAGTGCTGACAACACCAAGTCAAGGGTTAAGATTCCCTTACCGGTCATAAGGTAACGGGATCTTACCTTATGATCTCACTTTAAAAAAAAGAAAATTGGAGTCTTTGTGTTACCTCATAATCAATCACACTCCAAAGGCATTGGCATATTACAGACTTCCTTTAATGAGATATGTGGGAAGAAGGCCTGAGGGAGAGTAGATTTTGAAGACCAAAAAATAAGTATAAATCTGGGATCACTACATGAGGGGCTGTGGTTTGAGTGTAGAGGCAAAAGTAGGAAGGCGAGGGACTCAAGACAGCTGGCAAAACACACTTATCTTGGCACTCATTGCCTTAAGCCCCAAAGTAGCCTAGAGGCTCACAATTTCTTTTCTGCTGGAAAAACCATCTTACTATTACAAGCAGCAAATTATAATCGTCCAGAAATTGGGTAAGGGACACAAAGAATTATTACAATTTGTAATGATGAACATGTTAATAATATGATCCAATCACCACATATTGCACAGAAATACTGATAGTCAACTCTCTACTTCCTAAAGATGTATAATCAATTATGTTTCAATTGAAAAATAAAATTAAAAAATGAATGTTAAGAAAAAAAAAAGCACATGTGGTCTGGCATAAACCAGACATAGGCATCATGATGTACTCACCTTATTAGCTTTGGGACTTACAACAAATTCCTTGAAATATCATCTACCAATACAGGTTTTGATTATTAAGCAAGATGCTGCAAATTGTGTAGAGCATGGGAACTAGCACATAAAAGTTTCAATAGATGGAGTGATTATCTCCATGCTTTGAGTTTACTCAGCCTTCAAGATTGCCCAGCTGCAAATGGCTCAGCTCTCATGGAAAACAAAGACAAAAGTTTATTACTTTATGTATTTATTTTTATGAATAGCAATCACATAACCTGCCCACTTATTTATTTCTTTACTTATACTTGCTAACCCTTAGTTGAAAATATATTCCCCAACCCCCACCCTCCACTGCCAGATCTCAAAATGTTTTCTTTTAGTTCTTGAACGATAAGTCGTTCCTATCTGTTGAGGGTGCTTAGCACAACTTGCTCCTCCTGCAGTGTCACTTTTCCCAGGTCCTGGCCCCCTCCATCCAGACTGGGCACCTCTCACTACTACTTAAAATCTTTCTGAGGGAGTTAAGATACTAGGGTGAACTGGCCCTAAGTACTCTGATCTGTGGAGGGTGATAGCTCAGAGAATCTCCAGCTTCCTGAGACCATGGCCATCCTAACTCACACACTCCCTTATATAAAATGGTGCTGAGGGAAGACACCATATACAGGTAGAGGGCCAGTAGAGATGGGCATTGCAAGCCTCATCTGCACTTGACAAAGATTTATTATTGGACAGCCATCACCAACTTGAGAAGGGCTACCACTGACCACCAATGGCTGTGCTAATGCAAGAATCGAGTCAGGTTAATGTCAATGGCCATTGATGGCAACTGCTCCCCTAACCCCTCAGCCCCTTAAAAACTCCGTACCACTCAAAACAGCATTTCAGAGAATCCCTGAGCAGAGGGACACGTATTATCGAGTACAACATTCTGGTTTGGGCTATAAGCAAAAGTAACTGGGTAGGAGTGGCTCAGAGCCAAGTAGAAGACACATTCTGTAACAAAAGAGAGGATATTAAAGGGGGTATAAATAAAGTTCCAGCCTCTATAGGAGAACAGGACTAATTCCATTAGAAAAGTCCTGTATGATTATTTTTCACACAACTCTTAAGTAAACTCCTACTTCTTTAAGCCACTGGAGTGACATTTTCTATTGTTAGTTTAAGTCTCTATTTCACACTTATATTTGCCTTTAACCTGAAACAGATGGGATTTTTACAGGCAGCGATGGAATTTTAAAAATATACAGATAAAATTCTAGAAAAGAATGAACAGAGTCACCAAGAATAAGGCAACAGGAAAGCATGAAGCATATTGCAAGACCAGTTAATGTCACCGTTGGATGAAGAGTTTGGTAGTCCTGGTCACCAGAACATAGGATGTAGTGAGTCCAAGGTGTGGTTCAGGAGATGGAAGGTGAAAATTTATTTTAGGACAATTGAGTTTGAGCCAAGATAGAATGCAGTAGGCAATTGGTTATGCATTTAGGGAACTTTGGCAGCACACCTAGGTGGGAATAGATTTCACAATTGATTGCAAGTGACATCTCATGTCATATATGTGGCCAATTGATTGCAGTGGATCTCAATGTTTACAGGGCTTCAGAATCACTAGAGAAATTGAATTTTAAGATGCATGCAAGGGAGTGAATGTGTTTGCGACTCCATCGAAAAGATGAAATGTAGAATCTTATGTATATTCCTGTTATGGAGGGTTTTTAAGAAGGAATGAAAATGTATTAAAATTAAGATGTGGTGATGGTTGCATACCACTGCAAATATACTAAAACAATTAAATTGTACACCTTCACTGGGGGAATTATATGGTCTTTGATTTCTCAATAAAACTGTTTAAAACAGGCAACAGGCCGGATTTGGCCTGAGGGTTATAGTTTGCCAACCCCTGCTCAAGATCATTGTCTTTTTTTCCTTTTCTTCATTGCATTTATCCCGAAATGAGCTCAGGGACATCTAATATATCAGCACAACTATAACCTATCCACAGCATGCCAGTTGTAAGTTCGACTGCAGAATACTGGAGCCCCAGAAACTCATAGTGGCGAGTCGCTGTGTTTTCATGCCATTTCTTTCCAACCTATAGGAAACATGTTTTTAACACAGTCGGCTACTTTCTGCTCCCTGGATCCTTGTGCCATGATGTCATCCATTCTGGGAGGCCAGTGTGACCGCAAAATGAGGGTGAGATGATCAAGGACACTGCATTCAAAATTATGGCAATGAGCCTCAGATTCGACATATCCCTAGGCAAAATGTTCAAAGTGTACAGCAGCTGGGTCTGCCCTGTGAAAACAAACAGATTCTGGGGTTTGCTATTTGAAGGGATGAAGGAAAATTATTCTCCCATACAACTGCTGCACCCCAGCTGCTGAAGTGATACACTCAATCTGGTGAGGGTGTTTGAGAAACGGCGACTGTATCTGAATCACCACCTGGCTAGGCTTAACATAATCCCCTGATATTCTCAGAGAAAACTCTTCCACATCAACCAAACTAGAGAACTAAATATGGAGGGAGTGAGCTCCATGGCCCACGCACCTCTCAAGTCCAGTGATGGACTTCTATGTCATCCCACGGGGTGTTGTGCTGCTTTTGATTGACAACTTTAAAGGGACCTGGGGCAGCCGCAGCTTCCACTTACCCCTATCTATCTTAGGAAATACTGCCCCATGGGTCATGAAGCCAAGGGGGGCATTAACTGATTGCAAGTCCCATTAGGGTCCAGAATTTTGTTCTTTGTGCTCAAGGCTATAACCCTAGCACCCAGCACATAGAAGGCAATCATTATTTATGCGGTGAATCAGCGACTGAATTCTGTAAATCTAGAGGATAAGGACTCTAACATACCCATAGAGAACTAACCACCAGATGGTTAGCTGGTCTTAGCAGACCTATAAGACAAACTCAGATTAGTAAAAAATCTAAGATGCACAATTTGTTGTTGGAGTGAGTAGGACTGATGCCATATTGGGTCCTAAAAGTGCCTGGGGTTTAGGAAGATTTTTAAACACACAGCTTTTTTTTTTTTTCTCTCTCTTTCTCTCTCCTCCCTTTCTTCCTATCCCCTGACTTTATCTTGCTTGCTAAATAGAAAAACAGGGCTGTTGAAAGTTAATTAGCACCTTCCAAAACTATCAGTTCTTCTTCAAAGCTTGCAGAATTGTGAGACGTGATCAAGGCCAGATGTCTGGAAACTGACTGTGGGCACCACCAAGGGCAGCCAGAGCCCTGCAAAGCTTTGTGGAGACTTTGCTAAGAAGCTGACTCCCTCTGTATGCCACCCCCTCAATCACCTTTTTAAAAATTCTTCAGTAAATCCGAGTCTAGGAGATAGTTTTAGTCTGGCCATAACCTTCAGGTTTACCGGGAAGATGGATTAGCTTGTTGTCTCCTCAGGCCTGAATAAGGCTGCCTTCCTATTTCACCAACAATTTGATTTTGGGGTCATTTGTTTATGTTTTGGTGGCAGGCAGTCAGACTTGGGTTCAGTAACATGTTCTAAAAACAGTCAAGGGCCGGCCCGGTGGCGCACTGGATAGTGCGCCGCTTGGGAAGCGCGGCGGCGCTACGCCCGAGGGTTCGGATCCCACATACAGACCGGTTCCCGCTCACTGGCTGAGCGAGGCGCGGGAGCAACACCGAGGGTTGCAATCCCGTTGCCGGTCCCCGGTCCGGTATGGGGGCAACACTGAGGGTTGCGATCCGTTGCCGGACACAGAAAAAGACAAAAGACAAAAAATAAATAAATAAATAAATAAATAAAAATAAAAATAAAAACAGTCAAAAGGTGAAGAAAAAAATAAAGAATACAGATTAAATAATAATAAAAAAAACAGACCCACTAAAAAGAGGAATTTAAGATTATTACAAGGGATTAAGATAAAACGGTTTTAATCCATCATAAAAAATGCGAAACACACCCAAGAAAATGCATTCCATGTGGCCAACCCACTCAGTATTTGAAAAGTTGCATTGGAAATAATTGCTGAGGATTACTAAGTTATTTTTTTTCAAAACACATTTGAACCAGGCCCTATACTGCCCACAGAAGTAAAGATGCAACGAAAATCAAAAGGTTTTCTTACTATGACCTTTGCACTGGGGTCATAGAATCTGCTCTCCTTCTGTAGCCCATCTGAATGCTTTCCACCACGACTGCATTGACGACATCATATTTTTGAGGCACGTATCCATCAGGAAGTGCCAGAGAATTAAAGGTGAAAAAGACAGTGTGATCTATCACCCCATTTCTTCCACGTAGGCTAGTAATGCAGACCTGTAATTATAAATGATAGAAATGATTGTGTAAAAGCATAATACACTGGAGCTAACATTCTCTGCACCTCTTTACTCTGGCTTTAACCTGCAGGTCACTCCAGCCCCACCAATGTTTCCCAGGCTGGCACAATGGCAACACCAGGGGTGCTTTGTAAACACACCCATGCCCAGATCCCACCTCAAACCAATTAAATCAGAATCTCTCGGGAAGGGGCCCAGGTGTCCGATAATAAATGCTGCTTTTAATATTACCCACAATGTCCACTAGCCTCTCTCTATAGTTAAGGTTGTGAGAGTGGAAGGGATTGAGTGAGAAAGGTGGTAAGTAGACTATCACTTTTCCCCTACTTTCTCGGTCACATTCCAAGTTCATTCCTTCATCTTTACCATTGTGGAAACTAAATTTAATTTACCAACTCATTTTCAGCCTCCACTACCCAAATCGTACCCAGCTGTTACTAGTAAGCTCACTCTTACCGAACAGTTGCCTGAAGCACTATTTGTTTTCTGGTTTTGTTGCTTGTTTTCTGGTTTTGTTGCTCTCAATACATTTCAATACCTCCCAAATAAACTACATAATTTAGATCTTAATTATATATATGTTCTACATTATTCTCTAATTATTTAAATTCAGAAGTACAGCCTTTTCAATAAGGAATCCAGAGCAGCAGAAATTCTCACTAAAGGAAGGATAAGCAGAAACAAATAACAAGAAGTGCAACATGGAAACAGACTACCTCGTGCATATCCTTATGTCTCAGAGGCTTCACTGAGAGGGCTTTTCTGCTCCAAGTGTCTGGCTGGACAGAAAACTCAATTTCTACCAGGTCACCACAATAAGGCTGAAACCCTAAAATTGTCATAGAGAGAAATCAAGTTGGAATAACTCTCAATTTTGGTAACGTTACATTTTCACAAGTTACTTTGACAAGGTAATGCCCTAAAATAGTTTCTATTGCATGTAAGGTACATTTTAAACATTTAAAAACAATTGGCCTATAAATCTTCCTATCAGGAGGGAAATAATAATCTTTTAGACTTTGATTCTCTTCTATTCATATATCAAAATCAAATTGGAAAAAGTGTCACTTGTGTGTCACAGCCAATCTTTTGGGGAGCAGCACAGGATTTATTAGACAACTGGTCACATTTACAACTCCTCCAGGAGAGGTAGTCAAGTACACAGGTAAGAGCACAAATATGGATGTGGGTACCTCTATTCAAATCTTGACACTGCCACTTACTTGGTTTGCAACCTTGGTCAAGGTGCTTAACCTCTCTGTGCATCAGTTCTTTGTCTAAAAAATGAGAAGCATGGTAGTAGCACTTACAACATAGAGTTGCAAGGGACAAATCTATATATATAAACTCATAGAATAGTGAATGGTACATACTCAACATCGAATAAATGCTTATTGCTATTGCATTAGCAGGAGCACATATTGCTATAGAAAGAAAGAAACAATTTTCTAAGGAGTTTTGAACAGGTGATGAAATCTTTATGTTTTATATTTCACAGTTATAAATCAATATTTATAGATTTTTATAATATATTAAAAGTGAGTCACAAGATACAAAGATACGAGGGAGGATTTGGAGTAACAGTAATTTTCAAACACTGCTACTGGAAGTGTAAATTGATATAACCACTTCGGAAAGATGGCAATATCTACGAAAATTAACCATTTCGGTACCATGTGACCTAGCATTTCCTAGTTCCTTCATAGTCCTTTCCTTGTTGCTAATAATTTCGATTACAACTAAATTTTAGAATGACCCAAGACATACATCAGACCTGTTCTCTCTCGCTCTCTCTTTTACTTTTTTCTTTACATATTCCTTTTGCAAGGCTTTATATAATAGCCATAGGCTGTTAACTCCAAAACGTGTATACCTGTAGCCTAATCAACCTCAGACTCTTGTATCCAAATACTTACCCACATTATTTATGTCTAAAGCTGAGTTCTTGCTATTCTCTTGCACCCAGTTTTGCTCCTCAGACTTTGCACATCTCAGAAATAGAAACTCTTGCCTTACCAATTCTCAATTTAAAAAAAAAAAATATTTGGAGTAACCCTTGACTCCTCTTGCCCTCATATCAAATGACCAGTGTATCAGCCAATACTTTTGCCTTTACTTTCAAAATATTTCCAAATCAAATCCATCCTTACAACCTCCACCTCTACTAACTTGACCAAGTCTCCATTACCACTCACCAGGACTATTGTGACATACTTCCAAGTTGTCTTCCCAAATCCGCCCTTGTCTCATACAGCCTATTCTCAACACCGCAGCCAGAGTAACATCTTAAAGTATAATTCACCTCATGTAATGGCATTGCTCACCACCCCCAAAAGTGAAATGTTTACAATGATCTATAAAGCCTTATGTGGTTCATCCCCTTACTTCCCTCTTTCAGGTCTTTACTGAAATTTCACCTTTTCAGTAAAGCCTTCCCTGGAACCTCTATCTTAAATTTCAACCCACAACTCCTTAGATTTATATTTTCTCTTAATCTATGACTCAGTGGTTTCAGTCCTAGTCCTAAGCATTTAGCCATGACAAATGAACTCATAGGTCCACAAAAATATTTGTACAAAAATGTTCTTAGCAGCTGTATTCATAATAGCCAAAAGCTGCCAACAGCCAACATGATCTTCAATAGGAGATTGGAGAAACTGTAATATATTCAATATAATGAAATGAACTACAGACACAAGCAACAACAAAGATGAATCTGAAAACATTCTTCTTAGTGAAAAAAAGGTCTTATGCAAAAGATTACGTATATATGATCCCATTATTTAAAATTCTCAAACAGGTAAAGTAAACCTAGTTGGAGAAAAAAAGAATACCAGGACAAAATTTGCCTGAAGGCTGGGGACAGAGATTGACTGAGGAAAGGCATGGGGGTAACATTTAGGCACATGCATTTATCAAAACCCAAAAAACTCAGAAAAAAACAAACAAACCTGGAAATAAATAATGAACGTGAGTCGCTGATACACATGGTGGAATATTCAGGGAACACTATATAAATGTCTGCATTTTACTTGCCAAAAAATATAAGATTGACTGGTGGATGGATGGGATGATAAATACATGTATAGTTATGTGATAAAACAAGTATAATAAAATATTAATGGTAGAATCCATGTGGTGGTTACATGGTTGTTCAGTGTAAAATTCTTTCAAACTTGCTGTATGTTTAAAAACTTTATTAATAAAAAGATGAAAAATTAAGCCAGGATGGTAAATTTCTGCTCTATAATTCCTGTTGCAGATATCAGAATTCTCACTAACATGGTAAAATCTGAAAAACAATCAGCAATAATCTGATTTTCGTTTCCATACTCTTTCTAGATACACAGTAACTAGCACCACCTTTCCAAGGACCACATAGCGGGTGCTTGATGATAAAACATAGTGTCTCTGGATATGAACATCTAAAGAAAGCTAATTCCAACCAGTCTCAGATGGTAATAAGACAGGTATCAGACACTCCTGCCCCAGCCAGTCACTTCGTAGACCAGCCATTATGCCATGGTCCACACCATGGCCTAAAAAAGCCAAAGTTGTACCAGGCCATCAAGCTGGCAGAATCACTAGGAAATGTGGGTTACTGGAAGTTAGGTTATCATGAAACATTTGATGAAAAGAGAAGCTTAGATGTCTAGCCATAAAGTATAGTGATCAGTCTTAATGCTCTTACTATGGTGTGAATTTATAACTACTAATTTATTGGATAATTTTGTAAACTATTTTTGGTTTTCAATAAACCTCTTTGGTAGCAACAAGCTAAAAAGTGGGTGCAAGCTTGGAGAAAATGAGTAGTAAATTCCAAGAAAGTTGATGAATACATGGTTCGTGCAATACATCTGTATTATAGACTGAATGTTTGTGTCCCCTCCCCCAATTCATATGTTGAAGCCATGATCTCCAGTATGCCTGTATTTGAAGATGGAGCCTCTAAGAAAGTAACTAAGGTTAAATTAGATCATAAAGGTGGGGCCCTGATTTGACGGCATTAGTTTCCTTATAAGAAGAAACTCTCTCTCTCTGGGTGCATGCACTGAGGAAAGCCATGTGAAGACATAGTGAGAAGGCACCTGTCTGCAAGCCAGGAATAGAGCCCTCACTAGAAATCAAATCAGTGGAACCTAGATCTTGGAATTCTAGACTCCAGAAATGTGAGAAAATAAATTTCTCTTGTTCAACCCCAATCTAAGCCCAATTTATGGTATTTTGGAATGGCAGCCCAATCAGACTATTAGTCGCCATTTACTGTCCACCACGGGAGCCATTGTGATATCACTAAACCACAGAAAAACAGAGGGCCCAAATCTGCTGAGGCATTTACTTTACTACTTCATAGATATTTTCAAGAAGACAGTGCCCAAAGACCACAAGTAAACCTTGGAAGCTAGAAAAAGTACACTTACGTATAATTCTATGATGAATGACTTTTCTTTCCTCTGCTTTAATATAATTTCAATAATTTTTTATTCCAATTTTTCTTAGGTACATTGGAAAGGTGAAGCAACAGTTGTGAATATATAAGCTCCATTAAGAGAACTTCACAAGCAGTTAATTGATGCCAGATGCTTTAAAGAGGAAAAAGAGTTAAGTGAATTAAAATGCTGGTTTGATTCTTTCTATCCAAATTGTGGAATCAAAATGAAAAAGAAGAAAATCAGCCCCTGATGTCCAAAACTAATCTGATGTTCACAGCTAGAACTCAATATTATAACAACTGGTCTGTCACCCACAACCAGGCCATTTTGTTTTCCTGTTGGATATAAGCAAGTCATGGGATACTACCTCAGAGAAAGTTACTCTGAGACCGCAGCCTAAATGAAACAAAACATGGCCACTTGACAATTTTACCTAAGCACAGACAAAAACAAGGGCACTGTACCACCCACAAAATACCCAATCATAAAATTGACCCCACTTTGTGACAGCATACACTCTAAAGCTACCCCCTGCTTCCTTAAAACCTTCTCAAATCATGCAACTTAGTCCAAAATCTTATAATAGGTTCTTTATAATGTCCTCTTTCTGAAACATGCCATGGTTCCACCATGGTGTGTGTTCTCCCTCGCTGGAATGAGCAATAAAGCTAACTTGATCTTTGGCTGAAGAGCATTCACAAACGTTGTGAAAGTTCTTCCTGGCAGAGGTGAAATATCTGACATTAGTATGAATGCTATTGTAAATTCAGTTAAAAAGTCCTACACTGGATATAAAATTGTTTTTGCAGTCCTTATACAAACACAAATTGGGAACATAGCATCATAGTAAACATGAGATGCTTAGAAATTAAGAAACTGATGGAGCAGAAATATACTTTGAATTGGTTCTGATGCAAACAATTCATAACCACATCCAAACCTGTTACGATATTCAACCAATTGAAGCTAAAAGAATCAAAATTTACAAGATGTGTATATGTATGTGCATGCATGTGTGTACTTATTGATTCAAAACAACTGAACTACAAAACATTTAGGACAAGGTTAATACTGATATGATAAGACAATGACTCAGCATGACTGTGCTACTTTTCTCTTTTTGCTGTTCCAGTCGATCAGATTTCAGGCATGCCTCAGCCTTTGAAGGACTACGTGTAAATCAGCCCAGCTATCCTCCCGTGGGAGTAATGATTGGGGGGGTGGGCTGAGTCTTTTCGATTTTGGTTATAATAGAAAAACTAGTAAAATCAGTTCAAAATCTTTAATCAAAAAATTCAACAAACACAGGACCAAAATTCAGTTTTGAAGCTTTTGGAAAATTAAAATTGTGGATACGAAGTTGCAAAGAGAAAGAAGTTAACATTTATCCATAAAAAATACAAGAAGTGAACAAATGAAAATATCAGAGCTCAACAGATGTGCAATTTTGAAATTGGATGATTGTACTTGGGAACATCTCAGTGTGTGGCAATAATCTTTTCATGTAGCTCTTTTTTATTGGAGACATATGTATTCTATAACAGAATGAAAGGAAATGAAGGAGACCTACAAATTTGCTGCTGAGTCTCTATTTTATGAAACCCTCAAAAGTTTTTAAAATTTCCATTAATTTACCCAGATACATTCTTTTTTAGAAATAATTTTATTTTTGAAAATTTATGGATAATACCATTTTAAAGATCCAAGCATAAAAACAATCTATTAGTCAGTGTATAAATACTTCAAAACTACATTTAATTTTAATCAATTGTAACACTCTCTTTAGTCTCAAAAATGTGTCAGGTCGGACAATGGAGAATATAGCCACCCCAGGTATAGCTGTAGCTATAGAGAGGTTGCCCAACAAGTCCATGCCTTTGGTAGAAGCATAAAGACATTACCAATGTGCAGTCTGGCAATGAATTAGCTAAAGGAATAAATATCCCCAAATCTCCCTGCACACCCCAGTTTCCTGCTTGTGCTTACATTGGTTAAATCCACCCACAAGAATGTCAGCAGCTGAAAAACAGGATTCCTTAGTGACTTCATTAGTAATTGAAGAGGCATACTGAAATAGGGAAGCCACCTCGGGACTGAGTAACACACTGAACTGCTATGCAATTCATGGCTCAGGGAAAAGTCCAAAAGGGATAAGAGGGCTATATGGAGCTGCCTTTTAATCTTTCAAGTGCGTATTCAAGCCAGTTTATTCTGAAAAATGAATAACCTTATTCATGATGCCAGGCTTCCAGCTCCTGTCACACTGGTCACATAAGGAGACATAGGATGTTATAGGACTGTACTAGTGCTTAACCTGAAAAATAAAGGGGAAGGGAATAGCAACCTTGTCTACTTTGCAGGCCCACCAAACCTCACCCTTTAGGCCGAAAGCGCTATTGCATTTTAGCATCCTTCATCAAATGTTTAAATTTATTCTTTATTCACATATAAAAAATCCGAAAAAGTGGTTTTCATATAAGTAGAGAGTAGAATAATGATTACTGGAGGCTTGGAGAGGAGTAGGGGCAGGGGGAGGGGAGGGGAAGTGGTGGACTAACAGGTACAAAGCTAAGAGGGATAAATAACGCATGTACTCACTCTTAAGTAGGAACTAAGATAGAAAGAATGAAAGAAAGTAAGACCACAGTGGGGCTCTGGACTTGCAGAGGTAGAGAACATACATAGGGATACAAAGAGGAGTGGGGAAAGGAGGATGGGAAGGGAGGTTGGGGATAATTGGTGGGATAATTGGGTGGGGGACAGGAGGTATAATCACTATTTGTGGTAATGGGCATGCTGCCAGTAGGGATCTGGCCATCACATCTTAGGCATGAGTGGTGACTATTTGATCTGTACCCCATGAATATTCATAACCTATTAAAACAAAAAGAAAAGGACATTTAACCCCAATTTCATGACAAGATAGAAAAAAGCCCTATGCTATCTACCCTAAGTGAATCATTGTGCAGTGTATGCATGTACTGAAAAAAAAAAACTGTAACCCATAAATATGTTCAAGAAACGTTAAAAAACATCTGAGACCATCACTTATGAAAAGCAATCTTCGACACCCTCCCATTGACATATAAACATATTCACTTTGTACAGACAAGAACACATACACTCAACCCCTTCCTCTCAGACGCTTCTGTCACACACGGTCTGCATATATTCACCTCCCACTCATTCCTCAATCTACTCAACGATTGTTTTTATTTATCTATAACATTCTATTCGAAATGACCACACCAAGTTTAGCTCAGAATGTTTTGATAGGATTCAATCTGAGAGTGTAAATTATATACTGTACTTAACACAGGAAAGGATTCTACAACATCTGGATCCTACTGGCATTGACAGTTCTCGACTCATATCATCTCTCATTCAAGTCATACCTCCCACATTTACCACACTCCAGCTGTCTTGTCCTCCCTTGAGTTCCTAGGACATGCCAAGAATTTTCCACCTAAGGACTTTTACATTGGCTCTTCCCTGGTTTGGAAATTTTTCCCCAGCTAGCTCCTTCTTATCCTTCAAGTCTCAGCTCAAGTGTCACCTCCTCAGAGAGGCCTTCGCTAATCTGCTATTTGCAGTAAACCCCATCCTACCCCCAGTTTTACTATCACAGCACCTTGTTCAAGCCCTGGAGGACAGAAAACAATCTGGACTTTTTTTTTTTGCTTCCTTTTTGATGGTCTGTAGTCTACCTCATTAGAATGTAAATGTTATGAAAACAGTTCCTGGAACAGAGCAAGGCACTCAAATATCTATCCAATGAACAACAAGGAAATAACATTGACTCCCCATTATGTGGGATACAAAAAAGTCAACATGGTTTTCTTTATTCCTTCTTTTAGATTCCCATTATTTTAAAAATTGTATTTTTTTCCCATTTTCATATGGTTTCATAATCAGATAACAGCACCTATTCTGACTATTCCAAGTACGACTGGCTGGGGCCTCAGGACTTCTTTTTATTCACTCTCTCTCATCCTAAAGAGGTTTATTACTCTGTTTCACTCAATTCATTTTGCAGCAGCAAATCCCTTTACCTGTGTTTTATGTCCCATTATCTACACCTCGCAGATCTTGTTCCATCAGTTCTTCCTGCTCTCCTCTCCACCTTCAATCAATCCCTCCAGCATCACAAACATGTTCAAGCCTTTCCTATCTTGAGAAGAATTCTCCTAGCAAGGCTACCATTGGTGATGCCTTCCATTTGGCGTAATTATAGGGGCCAAGAAATTGCCTTTGGAGCTTAACAATCACAAAGGCCTTTTCTCGCAGAATTAGTGATTTCTGACTAAGCAGGTTGTAAAATCCTAGCTGCCACTAGACAGTCATCTTTGGGGAATACCAGGGCTAACAACTAAGTTCAAATTCAGGCTTATGCATCCAATAAAAGTAAAACAGAAAGCTGATGTGGCTGAACTAACTTTCCCCTTTTTAACAAAGCTTAATGACAGCTGATCATAATACAAGTGCAAATTTTTACTTTTAACCACATTTCAAAATCCAGCCTGGTTGGGGGATTGTAGGTGTATGGAGTCCAGCCCCGAAAAGCACCTCACCCAGGCAGCCTCCCCCAGTTCTCCCCCTGGCAGTCAGTCATGTCCTCTGCTCCACTCTGCTCTGCTCTACTCTGTTCTGCTCAGTAACACTGTTCTCATTGCATCATTGTCATGTATTCACATGCCTGCATCTCCCAATTAGGCTATGAGCTCTGTACAGGCTGGACTTAATACAGCTTTATTTATCTTGGTGTCACAAATATCTAGCACTCTATCTTGAGCTGAATTAAACTAAAATAGCATAAACAAATTAACAAATTATTGCTTTAGGCATAAAATAACAAAATGTTATATCTGCTATTTACAAATACAATTCAACAATGGATATACACACAAAGGGAGAAAGGTACAAGGTTACCTCCAAACCTTATTTTAAAGCATGCGAGGTATTTTTTTAAAGAATAATATCTCTGTATACATGTAATTTGTTTAGTTAGGTTAGAAATTCAATATCTATATGAACAAAAAAACTACAGATATATTAGTATCTGCATCCAATAAATGACAATACAACAAATGATAGCATGTGTTTTTAAAAAACAATATGTATCTGTCCTTTTTGCACCTTTCTTTCAAGTCCAAATGTCCATGTCAAACATTAAAGAGCTGCTGAGTGGAGTAGCAGGTTCCAAAATTGACCCTGGAAATGATGCCTGCAACCATCTCCAAGTCCAATCTATAATATTTATTTAAAATAGGTAAAACCTAATTATAAATTTTTCAAAATGTGAATTGTATCTTTACAAACAACATCTAGTGAGAAGTAAGGTATGTGCTTATTGTAGTCAGCACCATCCATCACAGAGTTAATACAGCCAAATGAAACTCTAGTATAGGAGTCTGATGGTCCATCACCATGGCAATTATCATAGAAAGCATCCATCTGTAAGGTAAATAAACAGGTACTTGAAACATAACTAAAGTTTAAAGATCAGAAACATATGGTTAAATCGTCGTTCTCCAAGAAGTCATTGTTGTTCAGAAACATATGGTTAAATCATTGTTGTCAAAGCACTATAAGAAACAGGGGTGAATATATTTCATCTGAAAAACACGTCATAGACATAAGTGGATGATACAATAGTGCCTGTGCTTGATATCTTTTTTACTTTATTTTTTAGAGCAGCTCAGGAAAATTGAGGAAAAAGTACAGAGAGTCCCTTACACTCCCTCTCCTCTCCCTTCAGTTTCCCCTATTATTATCATCTTGAATCAGTATGGTACATTGATTATAATTGATAAATGAACACCAATACCTTATAAAGTCTAGCACTCTTTTTTTTTTTTTTTTTAAACAATCCTTTGTGGACGGAAACATGGATTTTTACTGGGATCTTTAAACAATACTGACGCTGGAAAACCCTCCCCCTAGATATTTTATTTTTTTAATTTTTATTTTGTCAATATACAATGTAGTTGATTATTGTGACCCATCACCGAAACCTCCCTCCCTCCTCCCTCTCCCCCCTCCCACCCAGGTGTGTCCCCTCCATTTGCTTGTTGTAAGAACTTCAAAAAATAAAAATTGTGGTTGTTATATCTTCCTCTCCCTCCCCCCCGTTTTTTTTGTTTTTTTCCTGTTGTTGTTGTTGTTGTTGTTTGTTTGTTTGTTTGTTTTTGTGTGTGTGAGAGTGTGTGTNCTTTTTTCCTTTTTAAAATCCTTTTTGACGTTATGAAAATAATATATACTTACAGTAAAACATTAAAACAATACAGAGGTACATAGATATAAAAGTAAACATTCGCACTGACAGCTCCTTTCATTCACTCCCACCTTAGGAGGTAACCATGAGTGACACTAGATCGTATGCTACAAGGTGTTTTGCCATGCTTTTATACCCCACCTCCACACGCATGCGCATCTGCGTGCAAACACAATTACATGACTTTTCTTTTATACAAAAATGAGTGCATACTCTATATTTTTTTCTGCAACTTGCTAGTAAATATGCCACACACGTAGATTTTTATGTCCATCAGTCATAATTCTGTTAGCTTATCACTCATCAACATTAGTAACACTGCTGTCTCCTCTCTTACGTTCTAAGTTTGTCGTGAAGATTAATCAAATGTTGGGGCTGGCCTGTGGCTCACTCGGGAGAGTGCGGTGCTGATAGCGCTCTATCTTTAGCCGAATTAAACTAAAATAGTATAAACAAATCTACAAATTATTATATAATTTATAACAGTTTATATTACGGTTCATTCTTTGTGTTGTACAGTCATATGTTTTTATAAATGTGTCTAAAATCATAATGTGCACACCCACCAGATTTAATGCACTGATAGTATTAGATTCAAAGATAAGAGATACACCTCCTGCTCTCTAGGAATTCACAAAAAAGGGGAGTAAAAGGCAAAAATAACTACTTGAAAGCAAACTGTTATAAATGATTTCTTTTAAAAAGTTCAAATATTGGTTTCTGAAAATTCCCAGGATGGAGAGAATTTCAGACTGAGGGAATAAATATAGGGCAGGTTCTAGGAGGAAATGATTTTGACCTGAGCTGTGAAAGAAAAAAAAATTACCTGTTAAATGGGGTTGGGTACACGGGACGGGAGACAGCAATTGAAGAGAGAAAGCACAAGCCAAGTTAGGGGAACAGGGAGGAAAACAATAAGATTCCAGACTGTCACACCTAGGAAGACAGAAGCATGAGATGAAGTTGTGAAAATGACTGGGAGGTGAAGGGCTGTAAAAAAAAAAAAAAAAAGTCAAATTAGGGCTTTCGTTCATCTACAATAAGGAGGCATCTAAAATTTTTATTTATTGGAAGTGTAGTGGCCTTTATTTTGTTTTTCTAGTTAAATACATAATACATGTTTATCATACAAAACAAAAAAAGACACAGAAAAGCAAAAAGAAAAAAAACCAATTACACATAATCTATAAATCCACTTCTTACCTAAAGATAAACCACTGACCTCCTTCTGATACTTACCCTGTACCAGATTATTTTACTGTGCGTAAATATCTACATATCATTTTAAAGGACAATTTAATATTATATATATTATTAATGTATCATCAAATTATTGCAAATATGTAAACTGATTGTTGAGACATCATTGTGAATGATAATATAGCATCCCACTGAATGAAGGTCCTGAATTTATTGACTCAGTTCCACATTGTTGGACATTTGGCTTGTATCCTAACACACTGCCTACTTGCCTGATTTATTTCTGTATGCTAAACTCCTAGGAGTGGAATTTCTTGTTCAAAAGTTTCCAATGGAAACCTGATCCATGGAGATGCACAGTCATTTTCATGTTTCTTTTTGTGAATAGCCTAGTTTAGGGCCTAGTCTCATTTCTCAACTGGTGTCTTTCGAACTGTCAATACCAACCTCAAGGTCAGTTCCCCTCTTTCATTTTTGTTGAGAAATGAAGCATCAGGCTCCCATCTATCAATCTACCTCCACTTCTATCAGTATTCAAGTGGATGATCCATAGCACCCTCTGACCAGTCTGTTCCCTGACTCCACACTAGCTCACAGCCATACCGCAGACTGAACCTTCCCCCGTTTCATGTCAAACTCCCACTCTCTCTCCTCAGATCCTTTTCCCTTTCAAACACTATCAGTTCTTGAACTTCATTCAATTTGTTGTTCTCAGATGACAAAACCCCAAGACCATAAAAGCCCAACTACTCAGCCATTCTCCTCCTTTCCCCCAACAAGTGGACTGATGTAAAAATAAAAACACCAAATTCCACTATCTAGATCCATTTACAATGAGGGACCCAAATATCACGTGGACACTCAATACTACCAGATAATATTACTCTAGTTCCTAGTAAATACGCTTTCCCAAAACCTAAAACTCTCTAAACCTCAAAACTATAGCATCACAATTTTATATTTTTCTAATTACACAAATACCTTATGTACATTACTGAAAAAATAGTAAACACAGATACGCAAGTCTTGCCTTTTATTTCTGTGAGGAAACAAAGGCCATCACACAGGAGCTCCTATATGAACCTCTCAGTACCTGTCCAGGCTTTCTTTGCCTTCTCTCCTGAAACAATAGGAGGTCCAAGCACTTACCAAGGGCCGACCTCTCCACTGAGCGTGGTACCATTCCCTCTTGTCTCCAGGGGGACTTTGATCCTACACTTATTGCTTCTCTTCCTGATATATCAACAATTTTTTCTCTTTCTGATGAATAAACAGAGAAACATCCTTCAGACTCTCCTAACTTAAAAACAAATAAAGAAATAAATAAACCTCCTTTGAACTTATTTCCCCTTCGGCCTCATTTCTATGCTTCTCTTCCCAGCAAAAGATATTGAAATAATCATCTATAAAAATAGGCAAAGTCTGGAGCTCAAATTTCACATTCCCTAAAAAGTGCCTTCCGCATTCCCGAGCAAGTATACTTTTGGGTTCATGGTGTGTAGGTGGATGGGGAAGTCAGACTTACGTGGGATGACATATGGCAAGTTGCCTGACAGCAAAGGGGAAGGGGAAACTAAAAGAAAAATCAATCTTAAGGGCTGGGAATTGAATTTTGTGAGCTAAGATTTGGCCATGTTTAAATGCTGATGGATACTGGCTCTTAAAACAGCGACAGCCGAAAAAGACTGGAAGAGAAGAGACACTCAAGAATTTAAGAGAGGGTTCGGAGAAAGCAAAGGGAATGGGATCCAAAACACAGTTACAGAGACTTGGCCTTAGGAGAAGGGACACCTTTTCCATTCTAATGGGACGGGAGAAGGAGAGAGTAGGTGGAAATGTAGGCAGATTTACAGGTTATGTTATTACAACAAACACCAAAAAAGAGAGAGAGAGAAAGAGACGGAGAGAGAGAGAGAGAGTGAGAGAGAGAGATGCAATAAACTAATAACTTTGGAAGAAATGAAAAGGTACCCCACCCACCCAATCCCATCCCTCAATGAGTGCCAGTCTTAAGGTGCCTTGATAGATGATTCCTTTATAATCATCAAGGAATGTATACTTCTCATGAGAAATTGTGCAGAAATATAAAGAATGAAGGAACGTTCACAGTTCCTTACATTAATCCAGTATAATGGTGACTCCAAAAACTGATTTAAAAGAACATAAAGAGACAACTGTACATCAATTCAATTTATAGAAATGCAAAAATTGAAATAAAAAGTAAAGAAACAAATCCAGTAAAACATTACAAGAAATATGAAGCATCATAGCCAAATGGGGATTTTCCCATAAAGTCAAAATGGCTCACTATCAGGAAAATCATTCATATTTTCTTCGTTGCCAATACCATAAAGAAAAATCACAATTTGTAATAAGAAACACACTAATGATATAAAATAAAATTTAAAAAAAATCCTTTAAAGAATAAAAAAAAAAAAAAAAAAAAAAAAAAAAAAACTAGATGAAGATCTTGAAGACGCTAAAAAACATTTGAAAAATCCATCATTCCAGGGGCCGGCCCAGTGGTGCACTGCTACAGTGCGCCGCTTGGGAGTGCAGCGGCGCTCCGCCGAGGGTTCGGATCCCACATACAGACCGGCTGCTCACTGGCTGAGCGAGGTGCGGGCGCAACACCGAGGGTTGCGATCCCGGTCCCGGTCCCGGTCCGGTACGGGCGCAACACTGAGGGTTGCGATCTGTTGCTGGTCACGAAAAAAGACAAAAAGGAAAAAAAAGAAAAGAAAAGAAAAATCCATCATTCCTAATTTTCAAAAAATCTAGAAATGTAACACAGAGGACACTTCTTTACCAAAACTAAGATATTTCAAATATCTGTCGGTATTATACATTCTGATAAAATGGAGAGCAGGTAAGAACCATAACCAGTCTGTCTTCTATTCCAAAGTGCCCAAATTTTTTCACATTTCAACATTTCTGAAATCAAGAGGACAGCCATAATTGATGTATATTTTAAATTTCAATTATTAAATTATTTTTGTGCCTTAAAATTGATGGGAGTCTGAAAAATTGATGAGATTCTATTTAAAAGGGCCAGTGAGTCCTGAATAGGCATAAATACTGCATAAGGGATCTTCAAAAACTTCATGGAAATTTTTCTATTATTTTCTAATTCTATTTTCCAGGAACTTTTTGAAGGAATCTCATATGTTCTAGATGTTATAATCCTTTTTTAAGATTCTGAAATCATACTACTTCCCATCATACATGTCAAAACAATGGCTGTCTCTTTCATGACACAAAGTCAACAAATACTGGCTAATATTGCTAAGTCAAGAAAAGGTAGAAGAATATTACCCACCTTATTCAGGTGCCCATGACAAAGTTTCTATATCCAGAGGTAAAAACCAAACCAGTACCATGTCTGAGGAATAAAAGCTGCTCAGGAAGGAATGGAGGGTTATTTTTATTTCTCATTTTATATCCTTTTAGAGTTGGAATTATTAATGTATGATTCTAAGTTTATAAGCAACTGTTCAAATTTAAAGAAAGTTTATATTAAGCATTCCTTAAGCTGCTTTCCAAATAATAGTAAAGTACATTTCAACCACTTAAAATAAGAACAAAGAAGATTCAGTAAGTTTGCATCTACCAAATTAGATAATAAAAATCAATACTGTAATATATAGGATTTTAAATTATCTTAAAGTTAAAAGCTTTGTTTTATACGTTAAATAAATAATTTAAATAAAAATGTATATTGATGATTGGAAAAAATTATTAAAAATCTGTGAAATAAACTTGGCAGGAAATATACAGAATCTATTCAGCGAAAATGATAGAACAATTCAGAAGCGTGTAAGAGGAGGGATGTTCAGTTCTCCCTAAATTTAATCTATAAATTCAAAGTCATCCCAATTTAAAAATCCCAATGGGATTTGCTGTTGTTATTGTTAAGAGTGGGGGAACTAAACACAATTATTTGTAAAATGATACAGAAA